ACGCTAACCCCCCCTCCCCCCAAAGCGCCTACATGGTGTATAGTGGGACGGCTTTACGTACTCGCTTTTACACAGAATTGAAAACTGAATGAAGAAGAAATCATTTATCGAGAAAAATGAAGAAGCCGTTTTAACAAGACGGAAATTGACAGGCACTTGTCTGTTCTGTAGATACCAAACGGATGTAGAGAAGACGTTCATAAAGTTCGTATGGGGTCCGAACAGGTTTTGAGGTCGAAGAAAAATTGTGGTTGGCATCACAGATGCGTGGTTTCTTTAACTGCTGTGTGTCCGGGCGTTTGCTGTACGGGCCACTCACATTTGTGTTTTTGTTTCGGAAAACAAATGAGCAGTAAACAGATGTTCTGAGGGGCCGGGGGGGGGGTTAAAGGAGCAGATGCGATCTCTTAGGGAGTGCGTTATTACCGGGTTATAAAGAACGTGTGTCCTCGTCATAAATCTCTCTCTGCAGTTACTGGAAGTGTTACAGTAGATGGAGTTTGTAAGATGGATTTGTCGCGTCTCGCAGTCAGAATTCTATGAGTTGTGTTCTGCGTCAGAAGGAAGCTAATCCGCTTTAAAGCTAACAGGAGTCAAATTGCTTCAGAGCTTGAGTACTTCCTAACAGGAGTCAAATTGCTTCAGAGCTGGAACACATTGCTTGAGTACTGATACCTTTGATCTGCTGTTTACATGCGTACATTTTACTCTTTATGCCAAATAACTACGAATTTGTAATGAGATGTCTGTCTAAAACGTGCGATATGTAGAGACGTCAAAGTCGAAACTTGTCTTACGACAAATCCGTCTGAATTTATAATTCACAATCAAATTCGCGTGTGTCTTAGACCATCGTACGTGTAGGCGATAGGGTACGTTGAGAAGATCATGGGAATGCTTTAGGTCTGTACGTAATAAATCATGTCAGAATTATTTTAATTGTATCTGGGGGCAGTGCATGGTAGCAAGATATTCGCGATGTAATTATGAGAATAATAAATGAAATCCTGTAGGCTTTTATTAATCGATTTTAAACTTTTATCAATAAATGACTGGGCCACTGATTTGACGACTACGGTTCGATCCCACGTAAGGGCAGGTATTTCTGTCCTCGTCACGGGATCCACGTTATTGTCTTAGTGTTCTTCCCCCAAAGGAAAATGCCTTTATTACTCCCATACGAAACAGCTTTCTGTGTTTTGGAAAGGGACGATATTGAATCATGTAGTGACTTTAATAGCTGTAATTAGTGATTTGTATAGTTCCAACTTGGAAGTTTCTTGCCGGTGTTGTGTGAAGTCTGCTGATAAGGGTGACGTTTATGCACAGAAGCTGTGCATAGGTTCATGCATTGACGTTTCAGACATCAGACTCTTATGTAAGAGTTGATTAACAGATTGTTTACGCCAGTCTGGGCTGAATGTGAAACGCGTTGTTCACAGTGAAAGGATTTTAGTGGCTCATTCCTACACGCCCAATGGCACACACTTTGATGACACCCTCATATGAATACGAAATGTCATATCCTCCAGTTAACTGTCGCAGTGTCCCAGAAAGATATGAACCTTAATAATTCTGTCGCTCCCATTCGGCTCGTCGTATGTGGGCGATTGGTTCCGTGGACGTCGCGTGTGGTAGTCCCCCCCAGGTGCCAAAGAGGCTGAAGATGGAGACAGCGTGTTCCTCCGAAGTCCACACGGCGTCACGGCCCTCAATACCTCTGTGGACACAGCATTACAGAACACGCAGATACCGTATTATCACGAGGACGGGTTTTGGTACATCGTTTGTCGCTTCCTGGACAGTAAAGTACCCTTTTATGAAACACGTGCCCGATGTAACAACAGGACAGACGAAGGAGAGTCCCATTCAATTACCTGTCTTCCTGTTCCGGAGCCCCATCCGGCTTTTACCCATTCAACGACGCTGTTTTAGCTGCGTAAGTTATTTATTGTCAGATGTAATTACGCTGTGTGATTGCTGAATCGGGAAGGAAACGGAAATAGGCTACAGTCGCCTGTTTTAAGATGAAGCCCACTATCCTGACATTCGTCTGGAGTGACTGAGAAGAACACGGGAAACTAGAAGCAGGGTAGATATTTGACTTTTGTAAACGCCTGGACCCCCCGGTAGATGGCAACGCAGTACTATGAACGATGCTATTATGTTTTTCCTGGGACGCATTGAATATTCAGCATGTGTTCAGCAAGGGATGAAGGCTTTTCAGTGCTCTGGGGTGTTGGTTATGACTTTACGCGCCGCTTGCCAGGGAGCAGGTTCTAGAAATCGAATAAATAACTCCCACGTTCACACCCGAGCAAAAGAAACCCCATACAAAGGCAGCCCTCCCGTGTGTGTGTGGCGGGGGGAGGGAGGGTGACGCACTTGTATCCTTTCGATATTCTTCATGGAAAGACTTCAAGTTATTCATTCCATCGAGCACAGTGTTTCTTGTCTGGTGAAAATATTTTCGATCTGCCACAAAACCCGAGGATTCATACCCTGTCCTGAGAATAATGAGTCTGTCCTACACCGTCACACCTAGTTTCCTTCACGTCAGAGTAAAATATTATCCTCCCATCTATGCCTTTTGCATTTATCATCTGTTCATTGGTGACTTTGTCCACCTATATTTCTTCCCCGCCTTCAGAAGTGCAAATATTCTCAACCCTTCGTCCTCAGGCACTATCAGTCTTCGTTTTCCGCCTTTGGGATGTGAAATCAAGCTTCACCCTGATAAAAAAAACCACTTAAAATCGCCCCGTGTTCTGTTACGTCATTTACTGCGTGCGTGAAGACGGCCGGGCATTTCGTCATTTCTCATTCCCGCTTCATTTCGCTTTGTTCTGACGTTTTCGCCTTGGCCATCGTCTCTGGGCGGTTAAGCAATTAGCGGTCAGTTGCTGGCAGCCCTCTTCGTTTCAAAGTAAATGAGTAGTTAACTTCATGAATGCGATTCGTAACCCTCTTTGTAGACTACAGCACCCTTCGAGTCCCTGGCCTTTTGCCCTGCAAAGACGACGCAGAATAGGAAATGCACATCACCGTGAAGTCTTCGTATGTGACATGTGTGAATTTCTTATCGACTATTTCAATGTTAATTTGATATTTATTCCTGACATATTTCCTTTATTTGGATAATGCCGAATTTTTCCTAACGTTGATGATAATAAATCCCTCAAGCGAGTGGATTTATCATCATCGATACTGACTTGTGACGTCATGCCCAGTTTCTTCCCTGAGACATGTTGTCTGCTTTCCATAGAACCTTGACTGGTATTTAAAACAGTCTTTGAGCAAGCAGAATCGGAAGTTTTATTGATTGTGTAATTTCATTTGTCACAATTCCACCCCTCGAGAACGTCCGTAGAAATACAAGAAGCCCTAATCTTCAATTGATTTTGGTTTTTATAATGAGTTTGATACAGGGTGCCCGGCGAATTTCTGCCAGTATTAGACATAAATGTCACGAAGACAGGTCCGAATCTAAATGATCACGGAGCTACGGATATTTTAAATTCATTATTCATGCGAGAATTCGATTACGTGTTTCGTCTCTTGTGTTTACGGACATCTACGGGTGTGAGGCCCCGTGGTCCACCACGACCAATCCATCAGTCAGGAAACAGCTCGTCCAGGTACTAAGTTACGTATCGACTGATATGTGAGCTGCTCTCTCGTGCTGGAAGTTCATCTTTGATCGTGTTTTGCGTCGTTCAAGACGCATGGATGGCCCTGGTGTTATATTTAATGTTCGCGTCGTCTTGAATTTCAAATATCCGTAGCTCCTTAACCGTCTAAAATAGGATCTCTGCTCATCTGTGACTGGAATTGACCTCAGGAATTATATCCTGACGTGTTGATACAAAGTTACAGAACACTCTGTATATTAATAACGGATCGTGCGTTATATATCGATGTATCGAAATCCCAGTTAATATTTTTGAATATGTGTTCCTCACGCTGGTCATTAATCATTTTGTTAGCTTATTTCTTGCTTTTTTGTGTCGAGCTAAACAAAGATTTGGCGACATGTGAACAGTCCATTTAGCTCAGACAATATATTTATGTGCCAGACTCGCTTAAAGTTGGATTTGGTGTCGCTGGTCACCAACGTTTTCATTTGTATTCTGACAGGCATTCAGGGTCTGTTTTGAAGCAACTGCCCCCGACTAATGAACTGATGTCGGCAATTAATTACTGCCACAGTCCTTTATATTTTTTAATATCGATTTATCCTACAGAAAAAAAATTGTGTTTTGGATTACAGCGTTCGTCCTAGCGAGCGCCACAGTTTTGTCCATAATTTTCTACCTACGGTTGCAGAAATTCACATTTTAACTTCTATCTAATATCTGAATCGATGCGATATTTGAGGCTTTCATCGCTGTCAAAGTGTCGATGTTGTCGTTCTGAGTAATAACGCGCTGTAAGGTAGATCCCAAAGTTTCGGAAAAGCCTTCTGCCTCCATCTTCAGCCCTGATGGTTGAAGCAGTATGTTCCTCCGAAACGTCTGTAACTGAATAGATCTTTATGTGTCTTCCTGTACTCGTGCCCGTCTCATTCCTGCATGATTTGATCGCCTTAAAAAGTATTTGGATTTAAGAGTTCAAATTATCTTTCGTTATGGAAGTCTCCCAAAGAGACGATATTCAGAATTCGAAACAGGTGGATTATTCTGATGGACGGTAAGACAGACGAATAGACGCAAGGCGGTTTTTGTTATATGGATAGAGTGCGTTAAAACTGAATTATCCCCCTGATGATGGAGGCAGTAAGCACCTCTGAAGCATCAGTCATCATCTACCAGACTACACGGCGCACACCAATACTCATCGCCTTGAGAACCTTAAATCACCTGTTTCTTGAACAGTTATCCAGACGGGTCTATAAGACTGTGTTGGGAATCGCAAGGAATGCTTACAAAATGTTGGTGCTGAATCTCGTTCGTGAACAATTAAGAGCGCAGAACGAAAGTTGGTTTTCTTTATTGTTGCAGATTGTTGAACGAGAGTTCCTTGCGAGAATGGGATATCCACATGCTACCCGAATACACGGATCCTTATCACAAAAGGTAAGTGATGTCTCCCAGAATTGAGAAGTTCACTCGTACCGTGAGGTAAGGCGGGGATAAGTGGTCTGAGGCGAGTGTTTCATTATCTGTAGGACATTGCTTATAAATGTTTTTAGGGCGAGCAAACCAAAGAGAATGAATAAATAAATAAATAAATATTAAAGGAACAGGACGTGGGGATGTGTCTTGGTGTAGCAGGCACAAGAAGATGTTTCTGTGAATACGGTAATGAACTTTAAGATGTTATTAATGCTGCGGAATACCTAGACTGGCTGAGCTACTATCAGTTTTTTTTTAAAAAAAACAAGGACTGAATTCAGTGAGTTTTTGTCCCTGTGTTAAAGTAAGCGACACGCCATGAAGGCGTATGTGGTGTATGAAAATATGTCTGCTCGCTCTGCTAACCTGGCAGGAGTCTCCGGCCGCTTTACCCCAGGGATGGAGCCGCTGTTTGAATGTACGACTCACTGAGATTAAAGTGGACCAAGTCTTACATGTGAAGTGTTTAGTAACAAGTGCGTATTTCATTGTCACTGTGGTGTTGTTTGTTGAAGACACGTCTCATTAGCATCTTTCTTATTGTTTGCGTATGTTTATCATTCTTTCTTTCCTTCTTTGTTTGTGGTGTATTTATCGACTCTCAGCAGTAGGACACCCAACTTCCTACTTTCTAATTTCCTGCAATCAGTAATAACAACATGGAGTCGGTAGTGACAATTTTGGTTCGTGGAATGATGTGTGATAAATCTTCAAAGAATGTGCAATCAGAGTGTGATTGAAATCTGCCCACAAGCCCAGAACGCTGATCTGTCAGCTGAATTGCATTGTGTTGTTGATTGTAAACTCGAAGTAACTGCACAGTGTCTGTGAGAACACAAATCCGCGCAATACAGAAATGTCCTTTGTGTGTTCTTCTCGGAACTTCGTGCTGTGTAATTTCAGTCGCTGTGACATGGCGACGTGACGGCTGAGTAATCGTTTCGTGTGCCACTCTTACACCAAAAGTGGCCCATTTTCGGTACCTCCCGTCATTTGCTTCCGGGAGGGGGTAGTAAGGCTGTTGGGTTGCTATGAGGGGCTGACGTGCGTAATGGTTTACTTTATTAAAATTTCTATATTTCATTTACTGCATATGAGTATGCTTCTTTGGGACACGCTGTATAAATTATTACGGGCTGGCCGTGCTTAAAGTTCGCGCTTTATTCCACAAGGAATTTCTGTGGCCAAAGCGTTCTGTATGAAGTTCTTATGACGGAGATATCAACGCATGTACTATATACATAATCTTGCATTAAACTTGGACATGCCTGTAAAAATCGTGTTCAATACAGACGTCCTCCAGCTGCGTCCTCTGATGTGTTATAGACATTCTCACTCACTCCATGGGACAGATGCCGTCTTGAGAAGCTCATAGTTGTTTAGCTGGTCAAGAAATTCGTCTTTTTGATTAAAATCGAAGTGTCATTGACAAGATCCCGCCTCCGGTCCGCCACCTAAGCCAGATTAATCCAATTCACGAAAGTTTCTGAACTGAGTGTACTGAGCTGTCGCCGCTTGCAATTTCCTTTAATGTAATTGTGGTATCTCCAGTTTCTTCTTGCAGAATACGTGGTCCCTTTTTCTCCCCGTTGCATCTGTTTCATGATCATTTATTTTGTTTTCCGTTCTTCGCTCTCTGAAATTTCCTGTGCTTTTAGCATCTTAAAGCAATGTCAAGACTCTTTGGTTGGTACTCCAGGACTTTCCCCAAGTTCTCTTGAAGCCCACATTATCACATAAGTTTTGTGAAGCTGCAAACTTATTTAAGGTTTTAAACCTGATACTGTCCTTTAACTTTCAAGTGCTTTAATTTATTTCTATAACAAACTTCTGCGTTGTTCGTTTTTTGGCCGTCTTTTGCCAAACTTTTGACAGCGAGAGAGTTTTCGGTGTCACAGCCAGCTAGCTCCACTGAAAGATGTACCATCTGTTATACTTCGAAGCTGTCTTTTATCTCTTAAGGACGTGGTTAAACTGATTTGGTGTCA